CTACACGACTTTTGCCCAGATCTTTAGCCCGATTTACAGTCTGGACAAGTTGACGCTAGTTGCTGAAAATTCAAAGCCAGTCTGCAGATTTGAGCTGACAGATTTCATAGAATGATGTGTATGATGCTCACAGATTCCATCTAGATCAAAATATCAAACATGTTTAATATATGGAGCCGATTTTAGAACACATATTGTTTTCATTTGCCACACGTCTCCTAGAAACAAGGCATGTGTTTCTGTGTGAGTTTGTTGTGTTCGGAAAGACTTGAAAGTCTGGTAGAGTGTGATCCTTGGTCATTGAATGTATGATTCTCAGTTTTTCTTTTAACTATTTACAAAGTTGGCAAGTTTATGATGTCTAGTGTTTTAAAAATAAAGTAAATCTTTATTTTTATCATAATTATATCAAAATGGTTGATATATTTTTTTTAAGTGAACTTTGGCCAATTACTTTCGTGAACATCTATATTTTGACGTCTAAATTAAATCTCTTTTTTACATGTTTTTCTTTTTTTTATCAAGTTCAAATAATTTTCTCAAATGTAGTAATTTAAAATTATTTTCAAATAATTTTAGTAAATAGTATCCAAAAGAAGTATTATAATTATTTTTAAGTTCAAATTGTTTTTCAAATTGATTACTTTTAAAAATTAATTATATTACATTAATTTAGTAAATATTGTGTAAAATAGATTTAAGATATTTATATTTTTAAAATAATTTTATTGCATTAATATTATTCGTGTGTTATTTACTATCTTTAAATTGTGTGATATATTTCTGCTTTACATCGGCCAATGGTTATACTATAGAACATAATCTGTTTATCACCTTTTTTGGTCCCTCATTGTTACTTTACGGCAGGATGGTGTAATTCCAACATCAGCAGAGGCTAACTAGTTGATCCGCAGGGCAGTGAAGGGACAGGGCAAGAGAAGGCTTATTTCATACCAATTCTCTCTCTCCACATCCTTCATTTTAAACCCTGCCTCAATAAGTGCCACAGTGATGGACTTCCTAAAAGGATGCAGATTTTATTCTATCTAATTTTCAACCAGCGCTTGAGCTTTAGCCAGCTAGACACTTTTTTTAATGACTCTCCCATCTCAGAGGTCTCATTTCTACGGCAACATAAAGCCTCATCCATAGATAAGGCCTCTTATGTTCTCTTTTCCTTCTTATACTCTCTCTTATTTTCTTTTTCTTTTTGTCTCCCGACTGTTCTCTCTTATAGCATTGCCTTTGCATTTCTATTCGTCTCTGTTTATAATCGCTACATCTTTGAAGCAAGCTGTTTTCCCCTCATTTACAAACAATGCAGCCCTCTCCATCTATTCATCCATCGAGAACTCTTTGTGCCATTTAAATGCGTTTCTTTTCAAAATCCATCTTTTGCTTGCCCACATGCAGTCTTGCCCACACTGAGTCTCACTTATCTCGCTCGGTGGACCTGAGGTAATTGTGCTCCATATTATTTACTGAGCTGAACCTGTATTCATCCACAGACCTGCTAATTAACTCCATCTGCCTATCATTGAAAAGCTCTAAATACTCTGCTCTTAATCTCCCATTGGGCGCTGACTCATACCGGCCAATCCCTGCTCCTTCCCTGGGAAGCCCAGCCCCATTAGAGTGGCTTTTAATGAATTAAAAGAATAAAACAAGCAGGCTCTCTCATAGCAGAGGTGAGGCTTGAGAGTAAAGGTGGTGCTTTAAAGGGAGTCCGTGCAGGCGCTGTGGTACCACTTCGTTTGTCCCTTCTGAACACAATTACAGTGACCCAGTGGGGAGTGCTATATCTCTAAGTCACAGAACATTGATCTTGTCCCTTCATGCTGTTTGATTGGCCGGCTAAAGCTGCTTTGGAAAAAGATGATCATCCGTTTGCTTTCTGGCTCCTTTTCAGTCCTGATTCATGATTTATGAGGTGATGGGTGGCTGTCATTGTGCGTGTGCATGTTTGAAGTGAGTTCGCTCAGTCTTAAGTCCTGAAAAAATGACAAATTATTTTGTGGCTAGCTGTAGGGGAAGATAGCTGCAGATCAGAAGCATCATGTCCTTTCAAACTGTAACTAAAAGATACAAATGGATACACCATTATGTTGCATGATTATTGTATCTAAAATAACATGCTTGTCTAAAAGGATGTGGAAGAAATCAACTATTTACATGTCAGTCCAATCGAGTCACAAGACTTTTCTCTGAACGAATTGTTCAGTCACGACTTGTTAAAGCTAAGTAAGTCAGAAATGTATTTGTTAAATGTTTTTCTTTTGCATGTACTTCACTGTGAAAATTGAAAATAATAATAATAATAATAATATAATTAAAAATGTCCATCTTAACCCTGCATATATGTTTTTAATATAACATTTTATTTGTATCTTAGTGTTTACTAAGATTTAAGACCAAAAATTTTTAGGCAAAATTAAGTTGTAAAAAACTTAAACACTTAATAAAAGTGGCTAATTTTGTCTCATCTTAATTTAAAAGTGGCTAATTTCGTACTATATACACGTTTTGTATTATACAGAAATTAATGCTTTTATTTAATGTTTTTATTTAGCAAGGGTGCATTAAATTGATCAAAAGTAACAGTAAGGACTTTTACATTGTTACAAAGAATTGTATTTCAAATCATTGCAATCCTTTTGAACTTTCTATTCATCAAATGATCCTAAAATGTATTATATTTTCTACAAAAGTATTAAGCATCACAACTGTTTTCAACATTGATAATAAGACATGCTTCTTAAACACCAAATCAGCATATAAAATGATTTCTGAAGAATGATGTGACACTGAAGAATTGAGTCATTTCTGCTGAAAATGGAATAAATTAAAATTTAGATAAAAAATATGGCATATAACAATAAAAAACATTTAAAATGTAACTTTTTTAACTGTTGAATATATACAAGTTTGAAAAAAAGAACTCCTTTCGGTTTTTAATATATTTTAAAATGTAATTTATTCCTATCCAGTGGGCATCTCGTGCTTTTACTTGAGCATGCAGTAATGTGTGTGTCTGTGTTTGACTTCCTGTTGTGCCAAATCCTTAAATCCCAATGCAAACAGCTCTCCTCGATTTTGCCTCAAGTGCGCCGAATCACAAGCGACATCTAAGTGGAAGTGCGTGCATTTGCTTGACAGAAGTGACAGAGCATTTTAAAGTCCGAGCAATGACACGGTGGCCACTCTGAAGTTGAATCCTCAAACATTTGTTGTGCTGGAGACTTTTTCCCCATCAGCCATGCACGCTCCCTCATCAAAGAACAGCAGGACATCAACTACATGTCAGTCTGCACTGAAATTCAAAGTCTTTCAGATGCAGAACTGATGCACACTACTGAGGGAGTGATTTGAATGGCTGGTGTTATATTTCTGCAAATTTGGGTGCAGTTTGTTGATATAGGGAGATGGTGATGAGCTTTGACTTTCATCTCAGGCTGTTGTTTTGTTGTGTCACAGATTCAAGGTGTCAAATGGAGATGTACTGTGTAATGTCCCTGGTTGTGACGTGTGGAACAAATGTTCACTATCAACTCTGATGGAAGCAGATATGCTTTGGACTATTACTCTTTATCCTTCCTCCTTGACTTTTCTTAGTTTATAAATGTCACGATAAAATCCTACTATTGTTTACTAATATGTTCTGCCTTTGCGTTTGAAATGTTGCTGTTTGTCTGCGGCAATGTGAACTAGATTTTGTCTTATATAAAAAAGTATTTTTTTACATTTACTCAATTTTTGTCATGTTGTATTCATTGATTTTATTGTGTCTAAACTGGCATCTAATTTTAGGTGATGAAATTAACATTTTAGTTGACAATAAATTGAAAAATTAAGCCAAATATATGTAATTTTATATATAAAAGTATTGTTAAAATTAATTTAATAAAAAATTAAATGAATAAAAAAAAAAGAATGACAGTGAAAACTGACCTTGTTGTAAAAATTGGAGTTTCAAAATTTTTTTACACATTTTGACTTTCATGTAACTTAGTTCAAGTTCACTAGTTCAAGCATTTGTGTCATTGTAGATGCAAACAAATGTTCACTATTAACTCTGATGGAAGCAGATATGCTTTGGACTATTACTCTTTATCCTTCCTCCTTGACTTTTCTTAGTTTATAAATGTCACGATAAAATCCTACTATTGTTTACTAATATGTTCTGCCTTTGCGTTTGAAATGTTGCTGTTTGTCTGCGGCAATGTGAACTAGATTTTGTCTTATATAAAAAAGTATTTTTTTACATTTACTCAATTTTTGTCATGTTGTATTCATTGATTTTATTGTGTCTAAACTGGCATCTAATTTTAGGTGATGAAATTAACATTTTAGTTGACAATAAATTGAAAAATTAAGCCAAATATATGTAATTTTATATATAAAAGTATTGTTAAAATTAATTTAATAAAAAATTAAATGAATAAAAAAAAAAAGAATGACAGTGAAAACTGACCTTGTTGTAAAAATTGGAGTTTCAAAATTTTTTTACACATTTTGACTTTCATGTAACTTAGTTCAAGTTCACTAGTTCAAGCATTTGTGTCATTTTGTGTAGATGCAAGTTGTAATTTTACATTTCTATTGTGTATGTATCTGATTAATCGCATGCTTTTGGATTAGTAAGTTTTAGACTTTTTTTCATCAAAAAACATTGTTAGTGAAACAATATCTTGCAGTGTTATTCTTTCCTGTCATATTTTTGTTAACAGCATGTTTAACAGTAAATTACTTAATTATCATCATGATTCGCATTTGAAAAATCTTCGCCAAGAACCAACAAGATTAACAATGAATGCCAATCAATAGCCAAAGTCAAAAAGAGAAACTCGTAATTGATAAAACATGAAATGTGAGATGCTTCAGTTTAAAGCTTTTAGAAAATCTAATTGATATGATGTATGAGGATGCTAAATGATTGATTTTCTGTCTCCATGTCTCTCTTCCCATCCCGTCTTTTTGTCCAAATCTTTTTCCTTTCTCAGGTTCCTGGCTATTCTCTGTGTCAGAGTTGGCGGTGCCAGGGGCAGAGGTGGGTCGGATCTCAGCAACAGATGCCGACTTGGGAGACAATGCCAAGCTAGAGTACACCATCCTGGACGGAGAGTCAGGGGACACCTTTAACATCACCGGAGCCAACCAAGAGGCCGTGATCATTCTGAACAAGGTGAGAAGAACATTAACAGAACATATGGGGAAAGGCAACCCTGCTGAAAAGTCAGCATGAATTTGATTCGGTGTTGGTTTGTCTACCTCAAACGAGCAGATATGTTTTTTAAAAGCACATTTTGGACTCTTTTTGAGGCAACATCTCAACATTCCCATAGAAAATATGTGGACAGAAACTCGACTGCTGGCTGTCAGCTAAATATGGCTGCAGTAGTGAAGGTTGTCGAACAGCATTTCTGTTTGAAGCAGGCTGACCGAAAAAGTCTTGCTGGCTAAGCTAGTTAAGAATCCTGGTGGGAATGGCAGCACAATAGTGGTGACCTGCATCCAAAACACAATGCATGCTGGTAGCCATCTACACTGGTCTTTTCAGCAGGGAAAAGTGTGTATGTGTGTGTGGGCATGGGTTCATAGAAGGTGGGAAGAGATCAGAAGATGCCTCATAGAGCAGATGATGTTCCTGGTGTAGGAGGGGCAGCTTACTCATTCTGCCAGGTGTCGTGAGGAGATCTGCTCCAGTGGAAGAAAAAAAACCTCCACAAAAGGCCAAAAACGAGTGTCTGTGCTGTATAGGCGATGTGAGTCAATGTTGAATCAGCCCCATCAAAGTCTGTGCAGCCTCTCGCACTCGTGTGCGTGCGAGACGCTAATCAGACAGGCTGCGAGAGAAAAGAGCGTGATTTACGCTGGCACACCGTGTGGTGCATGCCACACGCAGAAGTCCCATGAGACAGCACTCATCTCTGAGAGCCCGTTTCTTCACTGATAAAGATTCTGACTGTCATTGTTCGCCTGAGGGCATCTTCACATCACCAGAAACAGCACATGATGCATTTATAAATTAAAGGAATAGTTCGCTCAAAAATTTAAATTCTGTCATTGTTTACTCACCATCATGTCATGTTGTCATACAGTGACAGTTCATAGTCACCAGGGGTTGTCAAGCTCCAAACAGGACAAAAAACACCATAAAAAAAGTTGCCCACAGGACTCATGCATTATATTCCAAAACTTCTAAAATTGTATGTTGTGTTTGTGTGAGGAACAGAACAAAATGTAAGCCATTTGACTGATAATCTTGGTGCCAGACTCTATATATAAGCCTGTGCTGATTGTGAGGTTAAACACTTGTGAGTTGGATTATTTATAAGAAAGCTGTCACTCCTTGTCGGTCCATTTCTAGCATGCGGCTTCCTCCTCCTACACAAATAGTCCAAACAGGTCATTGCTTATGCAAAAACACTATTTCTATCACCTTAATGCATTCTAACAAGTATACATACATATATACAGATACTTTAACAGGTATACATACATTTTATTCATTGCATAAAAAAATATTTTATGGCGTTTTTTAATCTTAACATTTCACGCTGATCATAGTTAACCCAGGGTTAACAATAATCCTCTGTTTTCATAAACTGACATTTTACACTGAGTAAAGGATGACAGAATCTTTATTCCTGTGTAAACTGTCCCTGTAATGGAATCATCAGAATCATTTTATATGGAATAATCTCAACTAATCAGGTTTTGAGGTGATGCTCCATGAGATGACGACATTCGTTTTGAACTTCATGTTGCCCGTTATAGTTAAAAGGCTTGAAGCCCCATTTCTGAGCTGCTGGGAAGCCAGCTGATTGTGTGTGTGCTCTGCTCAGATCTGGATCTGTGATCAGATACTGGGAAAAGCGGGCACAGTTTTATTGATGCCAATCCAGCTTCCTGCACTCATTTGTGTGTATGTCACAGCGACTGTACTGGGCCCCTGCGATCATGCAAGTTTGTTTGAATGTGTGTGTGTGTGTCAATAAATAAGGGGGTTTGTCGCTGTGACAGGCCTGGCAGGTGTGGGGAAGTCAGTTTAAAAAAAAGCTTTGGCTGCAGGTGAGCCTGGGAAGGATTTTAGTCCAGGGATGTGTTACTGTGATAAGGGAAAACTGGAAAGGGGAAACGGACAGAAAGGAGCAGGGAGATTAAACGAGTGGCCAGAGAGAGGAGACAGTATATAGAGAGATACAGAGACGTGGAAGTAAGACATACACTAGGAGAGACCATATAAAAGATAAAAACATTAAGTTAAGGGAAAACGAGAGAGAGAGAGAGAAAGAGAAAGAAACCGTAAGAAAGAAAATATCAATTCTCAGTGCTGCTCTATCAGGCATACTGAAGATGTTACACAGTCTTACACATTCAGTTATTTGATCGGACGGTTAATTTTCTTTTAAAGGTGTACATACAGTAACTTACCAAATTTAAAGGCTGTGTCTATTTAAACAAAGTGCAAATCGACCTTTTTTACATTTCCAGCTTTGGGACACGGAACTACAGTATAACAGGTTTAACTGGACAGAGCATAGCAAATATCCATCCATCCATCCATCCATCCATCCATCCATCCTTCCTTCC